CTTTCTTCAGTGCTAGGGAACAGTCTATTCAGTACATGCATGGAAGCTCTTGCTTTGGGGTCTAGGTGCTTTGTATTATTTCCATTTTTTAGGTTAAGTACTAGGCCAAGAAATATGTCTATAAAAAGAAAATAAATAAAGCAAATTAAGACTCTGACAGTGGTATTTTTTTTTTCCTGAGTAATTCCAAATCTTAATTTATGTTTTCATTCAGTCATAGGCTACTGGTTTGACGTCGAAGAATAGATAGCTCTTTATAGGGAAGACTAATATGCTTAATTTTGGATAGGAGAGCTCTTCTACATTGTAAATAGTAGAGTGTTTGCAGCTGCTATTGCAGGTTACTGATTACCTGTTCTTGTCGGTGCCCTAAAATAATCCCATATTGGTTTGTCTATATTTAAGCAGTGATTGACTAGGATTGTATTTCCAGTTGAAATTCATGTGCTTTTTAAAAAAGAAATAGAGGTTTACTGGTGGGTTATACTTACAAAACATAAAGGGGGCAGAAGCGGAAGTGGACAGGAAAAGCCTGGAGACCGTGATGGATTTGCTCTTCCTTCACTCCTGATGGCACAGTGGTGAAGTATTCGGCTGCTAACTGAAAGGCCAGCAGTTTGAATCAGCCAGCCACTCCACAAGAGAAAGATGTGGCCGTGTACTTCTGTAAAGATTTAGAGCCTTGAAAACCCTATGGGGCAGCTCTGGTGTTTTCTTGTAGAGCAGGTCTTCTGGCAGCAAATTCAGTTTTCCTTCATCTGAGAACGTCTTTATTTCATCTTCATTCCTGAAGGATTTTTTCAATAAATCACCGCTGAATTGCAGAATTCTGGGTTGAAAGTTCTTTTCTTTCAGCACTTGAAAAATGTGCCACTTTTTTTCTAGCTTCTGTGGTTTCTGTTGATATGCAGTCATTCTAATCATAGCTCCCCATTAAGTAATGCATTACTTAAAAATATATATATTTTATTGTTTAATTTGAAAGTTTACACAGTAAATTAGGTTCCCATTTAACAATTTTTATACCACTTTTTCCATGACATTGGTTACACTCTTCACAATGTGTCAACGTTCTCATTTCCTTTCTTTTTGTTCTGTTTCCATTGATGAAGCTTCCCTACCTCTCCTTAGCTTCTGATCTTTGTATTAAGGTAAATGTTTCTTTTAGCTGATTATTTAAGGGCGCACAGTATTCACAGGTGATACTGTTTATTTTATATGCCAGTCTGTATTTGGATGAAAGGTGACCATAGGGAGTGGTTTCATTTCTAAGTTCAAAGGGTATCTTAGGGCACTAGTCTCTGGGGTTCTTCTAGTCTCAAATGATCTGATAATTCTGGCCTTTTTTTTAGGAATTTGAGTTTTGCTGTACAGTTTTCTCCCTTTCTACCTGGGACCTTCTGTTGTGTCCCTGGTCAGAACTGGTGGTAGCCGGGCACCATCTAGTTCTTCTGATCTCAGGCTAGACGAGGCCATGGTTCATGTGGGCTCTTAGTCCTATGGACTAGTTTCTTGAGTCTTTGGTTTCCTTTATTGTCTTTTGTTCCAGATGGGTAGAGACCAATAGTTGTATCTTAGATGGCTGGTCACAGGCTTTTAAGAATGCATTACTTTTCTTTGACTACTTTCCAGGTTTTTTTTTTTATCTTTCGTTTTCAGCAGTTTGATTGTGAGGTGTCTGGGCATGGATTTCTTTGGATTTATCCTTTTTGGGGTTCACTGAGTTTTTGATAAGAGCTCGGCTTCTAACCAAAAGGTCAGCAGTTCATATCCACCAGCTGCTGTTTGGAAACCCTATGGGGCAGAACTACTCTGTCCTGTAGGGTTGCTATGAGTCAGAATCGACTCAGTGGCAACAGGTTTGATTTTGGCTTCGAAGCTTCTTGAATCTGTAGGTTTATATCTTTTGCCAGATTTGGGAGATATTCTCCAAATATTTTTTTTCCACACCATACTCACTACTCTTTCTCCTTTCCTTCTAGTACTCCGATGTCATGAAGGTTAGATCTTTTGTGATTGTCCCACAGGTCGCCGAGTCTCTGTTCATTTTTCTGTTCAGTCTTTTTTCTGTTGTTCAAATTGAATAATTTTTATTGATCTACAGGTTCACTGACTTTTGTGCTGTTGAGTCCATTGAGTTATTTTTTATTTTGGCCCCTGTATTTTTATCTTCTAAAATTTCCATTTGTTTCTTTTTTATATCCCCTATTTCTTTGCTAAGGCTTTCTGACTTTTGTTTCAAGCGTGTTTGCCCTTCTTGGAGCTTTTATACAATAACTGCTCTGAAGTCTGATAATTCCGACGCTGTGTCATAATAGCATAGGTGCTTGCTGATTGTCTTTTCCCATGAGAGTTGAGATTTTCCTGGTTCTTTGTATGCCAAATAATTTGGGATTGTGTTTTAGACATTTTGAATACTGTCAGACTGTAGGTCTTATTTAAATTCTGTGAAACACGTTGGTGTTTTTGACGTAGCAAGTCGTCGATCCAGGTCGCAAGTCGTGACCAGTCTCCCGTGGTAGTTGTGTCAGTGTCACCGTCACTTCCAGAGCCATCACAGTGCTATTCGGATGTGTCCTGTGTGTGCGCCACCCGGTGGCCAGTTTGGGACCTATCCCCAGTTCAGTTTTCAAATTCTGTGGTATGCTGTTTAGGGTCAGATCCATGTATGTGCAGCTCACTGGTGAACCCAGGAGTTCATAAACAACTTTAAGGGGTCACTTTCCCAAGAGCCTCACTCTCTTGTGATCTCTGTGATCGCCCTGGTACATCCCCACTTGCTGGGGCTTTATTCACCCTGTATCTGGGGCTGGAGCCCTGGTGGCAGAGCAGTTAAGAGCTTGGCTGCTAACTAAAAGGTCAACCGTTCGAATCCACCAGCCACTCCTTGGAAACCCTATGGGGAAGTTCTACTCTGTCCTATAGGGTCACTATGAGTCAGAATTGACTCGATGGCAATGGGTTTGGTTTTGGTTTGGTATCCAGGGCCAAGTAGTAGAAGGAGAGAAAACAAAATGTAACAGGGGTTTTTTCCCCTCCCTCTTGGGACCAGAGCTCCTCTGATTGGAGAGAAAGGTTCTCCAGTATTTAGATTGCCTGCTGTGGTAGGCAAAATTCTAAAGATACCCTCTCAAAATTCTAGTCCCCTGGTTATTTAGCCAGACACTAACCTGGGTACTGGTGTGAAGGGACTTTGCAGGTACAGTTAAAGTTACTAAGCAGCTGACCTTAGAATAGATTATCCTGGATTATCTGGGTTGGGCTAATGTTACCATATGAGCCCTTAAAAGCAGCAGAGCGGAGAAGGTCAGAAGGGGAAGTTGGAGAGATTCAAAGTGTGAGGGAATCGACCTGTGGTTGTTGGCTTTGGAGATGAAATGGGTCACAAGGCAGGGAATGTGGGCAGTCGTTAGAAGCTAAGAACAACTTCCAGGTAGTAAGGACATGGGAACCTCAGCCCTACAAGTGCTTGGAACCAAATTTTTGCCAGCAACCTGAATGAGTCTCAAAGTAGATTGTTCCCAGGGCATCCAGATAAGAGCCAAGACCAGCAACATCTTGATTTTGCCCTTGTGGCACCCAGAGCAGAGAAATCAGCTGAACCTACTGGACTTATGATTTACAGAGCTGTGATATAATAAATTTGTGTTGTTTTAAACCACAATAAAAAACTAACATACCTGTAGACTATCTTGAGCTAGAGATGCAAGAGAATGAAGGGAAAAAACAACACACAATTTCCCCTACTCTTGAGTGGTAGGAGAACCTTTTCCTTGTCTTTATGCCTGAATTAGAGGCTTCTCCTGGAGCTCTCTGTCAGCATCCTGGGGCCCACTTCCAGGTTTTGAGTGGCATTGCATGTAGACCAGGAGATTTGGAGGGGAAAAAATAGTCAATTCACCACCAGTTCTTAGAAATCTGATCTTCCCCAGTCTGTTTACTGCTTTTCAGTGTCCTCAAGTAACTGCTCCACATGTTCTGTCCTGATTTTATAGCTAGATTCGGTGGGAGAGACGGGGTAGAAAGTGCTTACTCCATTTACCTGGAGCCTTCAACTTAAGTGCTTTTAAAAAATCTTTTAGTTTATTACAGAAGACTGCCTACTCTGTGTGTGTAGAAGTGTATGAGGGAAAAGGTGAAAAAAAACCCTGTCCACCACCAGGCCCCACATCTCTAGCGGTGACTTCTGCTAATACTTTGGCATGTGTTTTTTGTTTTTTTTTTTTTTCCTAAGTACGTATTTGCAGTTTTTAAAAAAAACAAAAATGGGGTCATAGTTTTGTAGAAATTGCTTTTTTTCACTTAATTTGTCATGGACATTTTCCCATGTCAGTACATACAGAGTGATGAACCTCACCTTTTAACTGTAAATAGTAATACTAGCAATGGAAGCAACTCTCGTTCCAGTAAGGAAGGTACTGTTACTTTCTGCACTTTCAATAAGGATGCTGAGGCTCAAAAACATTTAAATTGGCCAAGACCACACAGCTAGTAAGTGATGTAGCCAAGGTTCAAACCCAGGCACATTGGCCCCAGAGCCTGCTCTCTTAACCACCTGGCCATCCGCCTCCTCCGAGGATGTTTGGATATGCCATAGATTATTTAACTTGTCCTCTGTGGGTGGGCATCTGGGTTCTCTCCTTTTTTTTCCTGTTACATGGAATATGTTTTTACATATATCATTGTAGATCTCTGAAAATATTGGTGTAGTACAATTCCTAGAAATTAGTTTATCCGTATTAAATCTATATATTTTTTCAAATTACCCTCTAAAAATGTACCTGTTTCCTCTCCTAGCAATACGCTGTGACAGTGACAAGTTTTAGAAAGGAGAGGTGGAAAAATTCCTTCCTGTCACAGGCCGTAGATAAATTGAAATTGGGTACTTACAGGGAGTATCTGAGAGTAAAATGAAGAGCATTCTTTTTGTTAGATAGGGTGAAAAGCATATAAAGTGATGGATCATAGTCAATTCATGATTCATTTTCTTTCTTTTTCAGAATTTTGATTCTGACATTAGCAGTGTGGGAATAGACGGCTGCTGGCAGGCAGACAGCCAACGGCTTCTCAATGAGGTGATGGTGGAGCACTTCTTTCGACAAGGAATGCTGGATGTAGCTGAGGAACTCTGCCAGGTAATCAGTGTGCAACTGGGAGGAGGTGAAGAAGAAACAAGAGAACTCCTTGGATTTTCTATTACTGCAGAGTGGGTTTTGAGTCTTCTGCTGGCCATAGATAGGCTTTTAAAATTTTAATAATCAGGGTTGACCTCATTTTACTAGGAAGTCTTTTTTTTTTTTTTTAATTGATGAAAATTATAGTTCTAGAACTTAACTGAATTGGTCTTCCTTGTTCCTCGCCCAGAAGGTAGGTCCCAGGTCATGAACCAAGGGAGTCAGAAGTGATATCACTTTTTCCGTTTCACCTTTCAATAGGGTAGGTTGGTATGCAGAGAAGAGAAGAGGGACAGAGAGGTTAATTTGTTAGGTTAATTTGTTCTTCTGATTTGGCTCAGCTTATAAATGTTGGTTTGTGACATGAATTTCAAGCTAAAATTTACTCCAGGTGAGCAGTGTTTGTCTTTTATTTCTGTTAGACATGAGCTCAGGGATTTCATTCAGAACAGTCGGATAAACACCGCCCAGTCAAACGCTAGTAGCAGCTGCCGTGTGGCAAGTGTTTACCACGAGCCATGCTCTACCTTCATGTTTCATTGCAAGCCTGTGAGGTAGAAATTCTTGTTCTTATTCCACAGACGAGAAGTCTGAGGTCTGAAGAAGTAAGTGACCTGCCCAGGGCTACAGAGGTTCTTAGTGAAGCAATGGGGATTCCATCCCAAGTCCATGTGACTCCAAACTCTGTTTTAAGCCACCACGCGCTGTTACATTTTCATTTAGAAAAATGTATGACTATGAGGATTAAACAACTTAAAGCTAGTCTGTAAGCCAAACCCCTGATCTAAGCCTTTTCAGATAAATTGTTTAATATAGAAAAGGCTTAGATTAGAGGTTTTTCTCTGTACCTTATAGGGATTTTGTATGTGTGTTCATGTAAATTTCCTGACGTAAATGATTGTTTGTTTGCAAGTATCAGAGACCCAAAATAATGGTGGCTTAAATAAAAATAAAGTTTCTTTCTCTCACACAGAAATCAGAGATGATAGGCAGCCCACAGCATATGTGGTAGCTCTGCTCCGTGATAAAGCTCTTAGGGACCTATGCTCCTTGCAACTCTGCTATTCCTAGAGTGTGGTCCCTGTCCTTGTGGTTCAGGATGGCAGCCAGAGCTCCAGCCACATCTTTGTATCCTGGAAGGGGCAAAGAGTGCACGCTTATATTTCATTGGCCAGAATCCAGCTTTATTCTGTATGGTCATGGACCAGCCAAAATTTTGGGGTTCTACTATGGTAAAGGGGGAAGAATGATACTAGGGGGCAATCATCAGTCTGCCATAGAAATACGCGTTAAAAGGACATTATTTTTAATGGTTTCGCCCGTATTTTATAATCTAGAATGTGCTTTTACTGTTCTCATTACCCTGATTACTGATAACAAGAGCTCTTTCTGTTTTTTCAGGAATCTGGTCTTTCTGTAGACCCAAATCAGAAAGAACCATTTGTGGAGCTAAATCGAATATTAGAAGCATTAAAAGTCAGAGTTCTGAGACCTGCTCTGGAGTGAGTTACTGAGTTTATTTTCTTCTGAATACTTTGAGAGAACTCTGTAGGAAAATTTAATTAGAAAACACAGTGGAGATTTTTAGATGTATTTGATACTTTTAGATATATTTGATATCAAATAGTTTGATATTTGAACTTCCATAGTGTGCTGGGTTTTGTGCTAACATTCTAAAAAACAGATGGTTGTTGGAACTAAATGGTATGCATGAAGAGCAGATACTGCTGTGAAGGAATCCTATCTAGCCTTGTTACTCCTGTAAAACTTGATATTGACTGTGAACTTCTAACTGATACGAATTATCTGAAATGACTGAGTAAGCTGTAAGAAATAGTATCCTAGAGCGGGGTCAGCAAACTTTCTGTAAAGGGCCAGATAGTGAATATTTTAGCCTTACAGGCTGCATAAGTCCTCCGTTGCATATTATTTCTTTTTTTTCACCAAGGTAGACTTTAGAGAAATCAAGGGAGGTTATTTTATTCCTTTTAGCTAAGTGAACTACCAGGGGTGTGTAATATGAGAAGATGGTGAGAGCTTACTTCATTTATCATTTAGTCTGAATTCCTGAGAGAAAAGGGTTTCCTATATTCAGGCTGTACTACCACTTTGTTTAGACTAGCATACTAACAAGTACTATTGTTCAGGAGGTCCTAGTTTGATATTTGAGCTTCCACAGTGTGCTGGGTTTTGTGCTAGCATTCTGGAAAACAGTTTAATTGGTTATTGGAACTAAATGGTATGCATGAAGAGAGCAGACACTGCTGTGAAGGAACTCTATCTAGCCTTGTTACTCCTGTAAAACTTGATGATTCACTGTGAACTTGTCACAGATAATGAATTATCTGAAATGGCTGAGTAAGCTGTGAGAAATAGTGTCCTAGAGCAGGGTCAGCAGACTTTTTCTGTAAAGGGCCAGATAATAAATATAATAGGTTTGCAGGCTGAATAAAGCTCTCTGTTGCATATTATTCTTTGTTTTATTTTACAACCCGGTAAAAACGTAAAAACCCTTCTTGGCCATCTGGCGTACAAAACAGGCAGCAGGACATTTTTGCCCTATGTCCTTAATTTGCTGACCCCTGTCCTGGAGCTTTTTAATGTGAGGATTACCAGGCTGTTTGTAAATGAATGACTCATAAAATAAAGAGAAGAAACTGAATGATAGAAGCAGTGATACTGTTGTAAAATCATAGCCTTGCAATCCTGGTGTTTTAAAACTGGAAGGATTTGAGATCTGTGTTCCCAGGGGACAAAAATAGTTGGGAAGATTCTTGTTGATTTTATAGTGTGCGTTTTTTTTCCCTTAACTTCTCTTCTGCTAAGCCATTTAATTTCTTATGGTTTAATTTTCTATTTCTGATAATTTCTTAGAAAACTTGGCAAACTCCTAGAACCAGCCCAGATGAACAGGTAGAATTCCTATATAAATTTGCAAATGATAGATTTCTGTATAAATTAGAAATACAGATTTGAGGTAGTTACTCTGTCTTTAAACATAGATCTCACTTAAACAGTACAATTGTGTAAGATGCACATTACCTTTGCATAGTTTTGTTGTTTAAGCAGATTTTAGATTGTGACACACCTGGGAGATAAATTCAGTCAAGTGCCTCTAACACCTCTTAAAACGACAAGCATTCTTCTGTCTACTTTGATACTTTCACCTATGTGATTAAACATTTGTAAAGGAGAGTGAGGGAGCCTAAATATAAAAATGGAATGGGTTCCCAGTGGTCTTTGTTTGTTTTTTAAAATAACATTTTATTGTGTTTTTGGTGGAAGTTTACTCAGCAAGTTAGGTTCTCCTTTGACAGTTTCTGCACACATTGATCAGTGACATTAGTTACACATTTATTACATTGTGTCAGCATTCTGATTAATTGTATTCTATTTCAGTTGTTTTATAGTAATGGGAAATTTATGTATTCGTTTCTCAAGTTTTTCGTCAAACTTCTATTAAGTGTTTACTGCCTACTAGGAAGTGTGCTGAGCCTTCACAGTACTTGAGGCTTTTTCTTTTGGAATGAAGAAAATTCGTAAGATCCTTTTAACTGTGTGCTTTCTGTTTATTATTGAAAGCTATATCATTGTTAGGTTGAGTCCATTCCTACTCATAGCGACCCCATATGACAGAGTAGAACTGCCCCATAGAGTTTTCTAGGCTGTAATCTTTACGGGAGCAGATGGCCAGGCCTTTCTCTGGTGATATATATCAATGGTTTCTGTAAATGTTTTCTTGTAGCCTCAAGCCAGTCCCTGTCAGGCAAAGGGAGGACTTGTTCCATCTGCTTGGTGATAACAAGGGGAATAATTGTACAGTAAAAATTTTCTCACTTCACTTTTCTGAGAATATTGCTGTGTTAAATATCAGCATGGGGAAATATAGTGGTAATTATTGCTAACTCTTCTTGTGTGCTTAATATGTGCCCAGCATTGACCTAAGCATTTTACATGTATTATTCAGTCCACATAATAACCCTATGAGGTAAGTACTCATTATCCTCATTTTGCAGAGGATGAATTGGGGCCTCAGAGATGTTAAATGAATAAAAAGGATGTAGAGTCACGAGAATACATGGGAAATGCTATACATAATATTCCCCTAATACCCTTGACTTTAGCATATTAAAAGGGTCATCAGTAACCTTACAGTAAACACGCTCATTTAATTTTGTATAACCTAGTTGAAAAACATGCATATTTGACCCAAGAATCCTTATTTTTCCCCAAAATAACATCTGTTAAAACCACAGAATTATAGTTCTGTAAAACATAAGTTTGGAAAATGGTGGGCACATTCCATTACTACAACTCAGACTTTTCTCTTTCTTGCTGTTACTGGTGGATGCACAGCAGGTGTTGCTAGGCATCTTTTATGGGCAAGTTGAAAAATATGGGACACCAGTTTATGGAATTCTGGTTCAGATACAGGGAGAAAATACCTGCCAGCTGTGTAGCATCATCTGTTTATACATGGTGGGAAGAAACATTATGGCGCACCCACAGAGGAAAAGAGGGAGATGGGAGACTGCAGCAGTTCTCCAGGTAGCCTAGGCAGTTGAAGAGGCAGAGGCCAACAACAACAGAAAAGTTGGTATGGATAGATACCATGGAAAACCTAGAAGAGAAGGAAGCCTGAAGAGTATTAGCTCTTGAGTATAAATGCTGAGAGACCATGGGAAGGTGTCAGGAAAGAATGGTGATATGGCAGAGGAAAGTGACCAAGGAAGAGCCAGGGCCCTGCCTGCTCTTCTCTTCATGCCCTTGTATTTCTGAGTTTGTGTACGGATTTCTCTGTCACCCAGATGGCTTTATCCATTTTTTAAATTCCTCTTGGCACCTAGCATAGTGCTTCTTACATAGTAGGCATTCAATAAATGATAGAATTGTTTGAAGGGGAACTTGAACAAACGTGACCTCCTCCTTCATGTGGCAGATAGAAGGAAAGCCAAAAAATAGTCAGCGTCAACAAGACATGGGGAAATATTAGACAAATAGAAACTGTCTTGTAATTATATTCCAGTTATTGACATTTTGAAAGAAAGTACTGTCTTTTCGGCAAACCCATTGATTGCCTTCTTAAAGGTGTCTCAAAGAGTAGTATTATCTTGGTGAATTTGCCATTGTCCAGGATCTGATTTGCAGTCTTGCAGTCTTGGAAGTCTTTTTTTTTTTTTCCCCCAATATGTAAGAGTAGGCCTGAGCTGTAAACAATTATAAAATTATATGTACAGTCTGGACTACTGATGGCTTTGAAACTAGCTCAGATCCACGTGTAAGGCACAATTTAATCTAACTTGCTGAGCATGGAATTAGAACAAGAGGAGATTGTTCTCGAAAATATTTAATGCTCTCAGGCTAAAATATCTTGATGCCTTTATCTTCACATTGGAGGTAGCCTTGCAAAGATATTGGACAGTTTAAAGTTTATTGACCAAGACTCCTTTTCCTTAGGTGGTCCTTGGATTGTCTCAGTCACTCCTTTTTTAGGTTTCCATTGCTAGCTAACCTTCCTTTTTAGGTTTACATTTTTAAAACATTATTTTATATGAAACCCGTATTTGAATTTTATGTCAGTATCAGTCATCTGAATAGGTAATACATGGACAAGTTACAAAAATCAAAAGATATACAGCAAAGGCCGTGCTGTGAAAAGTAAGTCTCCTTCCCATCATCCTGTTTCCCTCCATATAGGCAAAAACTGTTGACCTTTTTCTCACGCATCTTTCCAGAGATACCGCATGCATTTGCAAGCTTATGTGCGTTAGGGATATGCATAATACATATGTATATGTACTTTTTATGCACAAATGGTTGCCTACTATACACACTGTTCTGCATCTTGCGCTTTTTTCACTTAATGCTCGAAAATTTACCTGTATCAGTACATACAGAACTATCTTTTTTTTTTTTTTTTTTTAGGTGACTACGCTATGATTAGGCGAGAGTAGAAATAAAACCACGCAGGGGTGTGCGATGACGCTGCCATTGTGGTTTCTTGGTGGTGTGTGTGATCAGTGGTCCTAAGGATAGAAAACGCTGGCTGAACTTAGAGAAATTGTAGAATCTAGAATGAAATCGTTTATAAGTGGAAAACAAAGATAACAGAAGCAAGCAGACAGAGACGCCTGATCATGGAGAATTAACTGTCACTGGAAATGAGGGTGACAGTGATTGTGCAGTCTGTAGTGTCAATTTTCTTGTTCTTAGTTGTGGCTTCTTACTAGTGGGGCAGTCTTGCTGATTTGGGCGTTTTTAAATGGCCACCTAGAACCACAGGGGAAACAAGGCTGATAGCTGTGCCAGCGGAGAAAAGGAATCAAGGTTTGAACAAGTTGGGGTTTTTCCAGAGTTTTTGTTTAGTTGGATGTGAGGGGTGGGGGTAGTATGTATCTTAATTCTGAGAGGACAGAATAGGAGAGTTGAGGGATACATTTTTAACTCAGTCTGCCTATGTGCTGAGTATGGTAGAGCAAGGGCACCTCTATTAAAGAGAAGC